TCCCTTCTGTGGGCGAACCGAAGACTTGTGACCCAGCTGGCCACACGCAAAACAAGTCAAGCCTCCCTGACTACCTCTCCCAGAGTCCGCGTTCGGTACTGGAAAGGTCGATCTAGCCAAACCACCCTAAGACTGCTGAGGGTTAGAACCCCTCTATCTCCTACCGTCACCTTGATCATCTTGGCTCCTCTTGGAGCCTCTCTGCCCCTCGTCTTCCTCCTGCATCATAATCTCCATATGAGTAGCAACATCAACCAAACGTCTGTACTCTCGGATAAAGGACCCTCCAACCCTCAACTTGAGTCCACGCCTCAACTTCCGCTCAAACTTAAAACAACGGTGTTCCTCGGACGGCACCAGTTCAGGTGCAAACCTGGACAGACTAGTAAAAGTAGCCTCAAACTCGGCCACTGACAAGCCCTGCTGTCTAAGCTGGCAAAACTGCTCCCTCAGCTTCTCCCTAGCAACTGAAGATAAAAACTTCTAATGGAAAACATTCACAAACGCCTCCCATACACCACCAACATTGCCCTTCTCGTACTTCCACCATTGACCCGCATCTCCCTTCAGCTGGAAGGATGCCAAGGTCACCTTTAAAGCCCCGTCCTCGATGCCAAGCATCTCGAACGTCTTCTCCATCTGTTCCAATCACTCGTCAGCCTTAAGTGGCTCCTTCGGATCCCCAACAAACTCGTCCGGATTGGACGAGAAGAATTCCCTCTTCAAGAAGGAAGGCCCTGCCTCAACAACCTGGGCCTGAACTGGATTCTCAGCTTGGAAAATACCCACAGACTCCCTCAAAGCATCGACTATCCCTCGGGCTAAAGCGCCCATAGCCTCCTGACCTGCTGGCTCGGCCACATTGGCCTGGCCAACCCCCTCCTGCTGTGCCGGAATATCATCCGGTAAAGGCATCTCTTGTCTACCACGTCTGCCTCGTCTACCACGTCCTCATCCTGACATCCTAATAAAGGTAACGAAGAACGTTAACACATTCATAAATGTACCAAAACTAAACACTCGTGTCCTAATACATAGACAACAGTAATTCACACCACGTAAGCACATAAACACATAAACACTTACGAATTTTATTCCCAGATAATGATAGTCCCGAGGCGTTACTAGAGTTCCGGTTAGAAACAGCATTGATCAAGTGCTTTTCCAACGAAACTCCCAGAAATCCAAGGATCCAATCAACATCTTAGAAACTACATTCCATACCCACATAGTCACATAAGCATGTTATCAATTAAGCACATAGCATATGACACTATATCTAAGTCTCTATCAAGCGAGACAAACCCATTGTGATCCTAATCACTTCCCACGTACCCAAAGTATTCGAACCCGGTACGCTCTGATACCAAGTTGTAACGCCCTCAAAAAAATACATAAAACCCATCACTATAGACATGCATTGATATAAAAGAAACTAACCATTTCTATTCATCAGAGTAATTCTTACAACTGTATTACATGTTAACAACAAAAGCAAATGCCCTATGGGCTTACAGCTTTCCAAGTTAACACTTGGTTACAAAAAGAGGAGTACTAACTCAATACATATTATGCCCTTGGCTTGAATTTACATGTAATACATCAAAATAAACAAAAAGTGTCTTCAACTCTCATCATCATCCAAGCTATGTCCTTGGAGGTGGCATACTACCTGTACCTGAAAATAATGTCCCATAAAGGGTGAGCCAACGCCTAGTAGAGGTATGCTAAACACAGTATAAGCAATAACTAAGACATTAGTAATTGATAAATGTTCGATTTCCATAAACCAATTCATAATCCATTTTCCATTTCATGTCCACTATGTTCATGTTTCATTTCAATTTCCATTTCTTATCAATTTCACAATTTACATCAATGGCTCAGAACCTGGCCAACCACTTATATGAGACAATGACTCATATTAAACACTTCCCATTTTACAATACATAAACATACTAGTTGTATCAACATCTCAACAGATAAGCATACAAGCTGTATCCACATTTCAACAGATATGCATATTAGCTATATCAACGCTTCCAATGATAAGCATATGAGCTTTATCAACACTTCCAAGATAAGCATATGAGCTATATCAACACATTATCTAACAAGCATATGAGCTGTATCAGTGGAGTCCATCCCCTATCTCCTCCCAAACAACATCCGGTTTAGAGGTCCATCCCTTATTTTCCCCTAAACCGTGGAGTACATCCCCTATCTCCTCCCACACACATAACGTACATACACAAAGGTCATATACACAATCAACCAATACATAACGTTAATGTATTCTATCAACCGTCATACTCTATGACATATCCAATTGATTAGTTTTAATTTGCCTAATCATCATGCATTGTCTACAACAATCAAAACTACCCTCCACCGGTAGCCCAAGTAATTATTTCTAAACAGATAATAAAAGCTCTAACAGATAAAATATCAATGTTTTCAAAAGTGAGCGATTAATAAATCTAACTCCACTATTCAACCATATAATGAGTCAATTTCATTATTTCCAACTCAATTCCATATAACCACCATTTTCTCAAATTAATCATACCAATTAATTTATACAACCAATTAGGGTTTTCTACCCCATTTCCCAATATTGACCCAATGGTCTAAATATCAACAACCAACATCAATAACACCATTTTGAAACCCAAAATACATATTATGAGCCCAAAATCACAAAACCCTCTTTAACACATTTTGAAACCTTAAGTTCCAAAATCAACCATTTAAACAATAAGCTCAAAATCTAGGTTAAAATTCATAAGACTAAGTAGGAATCCCTACCTCAAATTCGGAGCTCAAGGAAAGAAGGTAAAGAAACTCAACGTGCTCCAAAACTCAATATACTCGGATCAAAACGTAGCCCTCGACGATCAACCCAACTTTTACAAAGGCCGAAGGAAAAGGAAACACTCTAACTAGATCAAACCCTAAAGAGAAGAGAGTTTCTAGAGAGAGGAACTCTCAAAAAGTCTTTTTAAAAAGTAAGAGAGAGAGAATGTAAAAAGTGATTTTAAAATGCCCAGCTGCCAGCTGCCAACTGCTATATGACATTCCCGCTCAAGCGGAGAACACAACGCTCGAGCGTCAAGAACAAAATACTAGGTACACTCGAGCGCAAGAAGGCCCGCTCGAGCGCCAAGAAACAAGAATAAAGTACATTCGCTCGAGCGCAAAAACCAGTCTGCTCGAGCGTAGATTTTCCCCTCCCAGAACTTACACCCAAAGGTACTACCCGCTCGAGCGCCACAGTACCCGCTCGAGCATCACCGCTTGAGCGCAAAGAAACCCGCTCGAGCGCCAAAAACATGCCTACAGAAGTTCTGCAGAGCACCAAAATACTAGAAGCGTGCAATCTCCGCTCGAGCGCAAGAAGACCCGCTCGAGCGGACCTCCTAAAAACTGGGCAACAAGGAATTGGAACCAAAGCCTAACCAACCTGTAACAACTCTGCCCAATACATCCTAAAACTCAATCAAGTGGAATTAAAGGATGACAACAAGGTATGCCACCACCAACATCACGGGACCGAGTCCGGAATACAACAGAACAGTAAAGGGACAACCGGGATCGCTATATAAACAGCCCAAGGCATGCGGGCCACCAGCAGCAGCAACACTAACCAATAGTGCAAATTTTTGGTGTGTTGTTTGGGCATCCAAATGAAGGAGTTTCGAGTTGAAATTTTTACTGGAAAGAGGTCTTGGGAGAAGTGTTTTCCTGACCAAGTTTCGTGATTTTTCTCAATTTGTGGAATTTATGAAAAATCATTATGGCTCCTTGGACATATTGATGTTTCCTCCTGCCAGATGGCTAATTGCTTAACAAGCATATATAAGGGGGCAAGGTGTGCTACCTACCTACCTCCCCACCCAAATTGGGCTTCAAGTGAGCAACATTGGGGCAACTCAAGGGCGGGCTTTAGGCATCCAAAGGAGTGTATAGAGTCTCCATGTGAGTTTGGGAGCCCTGTGGACAATGCAATAATGTAGGCACTGCGCGTGTCTCCCGAGGGAGAGATTCGCTACGTTGTTTAGGATATTGTTTGGTGTAACTTATTATAAATTAAAAGTTGATAATCATAAAGTTAAAATTAAAAGAACTCTTTTTTTAATTTTTAAATAATCAATTTTTCTCAACTTATTTAAACTATTTATGCTTACAAAATTATAAACAAAAATTATACTAAACAATCTAATACAAATTTTCAAATTAAAATACACTATAATCAACCCTATATTCACACCAAACACCCCAAAGTAGTCAAATTTCATGGAATAGTAGCAACTCACACTTTGGTTTTGTTGTGCACAAAGGTCAATTTTTAGAACATTGGTGTCCACATGGCACAAGACATGATTCTCATAAACATCTATGGAGATAATTTTTTTTTTTAAAAAGTAAGATAATTAAAATTAATATAAATAATTTATAAATGCATACATAAATAATGATAAAATATAAATAAGATCATGTTTTATTCAAATAATTAACAAATTATTGATAAAAGAAAAATTAAAATTTTAATAAAATTTAGTCCTCGTTTGGCAAATATTTTGGGACTAAAAAGGCACAAAAAGACAAAATAAACTATATAGGATAATAAGATAAAATGTCACATCTAAATCATAATCATTACACTTTTTCTCTCACAAAAATCAAAAAAATTTAAAAACAAAAATCAAACAAGGTTAAAAAAGTCTTAACATAAAAAAAATTGGCTACCGTAACTATTGCCAAACGAAGTTTTAACATAATTATGTTAAGCTTGTGTAACTCTCAATCAATGTTCTTTAAATCTTGAAGGAGGTTATAATAATTCATCGTTCAAATTTTAAAAATTCTGAGTGTAAATTATCATATGACTGGATAGACACAAACATTTTATATAGGCGGTACTCACATAAACTGACTCGCTTATGTAAGAAAGTTGTCACTAATTTTTTTTTTTTTTAGAGGGTAGAGGGAAGGCCCCCCTACAGAATAGGAACATCATTCAACAAAATATGCACCAAATTGGCAGGGACCTCAGCAAGCCACACCCGCTTGTCTGGAGCTTCCTTTGCCATTTGGGCCAAGTGATGAGCCATAAGGTTGCCATTTCGCCTCACATGCGAGACATGAAAATGTAAGAATTGCTTGGTACAGGAAATGGCACATTGTAAAAAATGACCAAAAGAAGCACATAGATTGCTCTCGTCTCGGATAGCCTTCACCACAGTCAGAGAATCACCTTCCAAATGAATGTTGGTTAGCCCCAATTCTGTTGCAAACTCCAGTGCCTTGACAGCCGCAAGGGCTTCAATACAATCGACCTCCAACCATGTCGGGATTTGTTCCGAGAAGGCAGCTATCGGCTCACCACTTTGAGCACGAATGATGACCCCCACACCACATGACTGCTGATTTTTGAAAGTGGCCCCGTCAAAATTCACCTTAACAAAATCCCCTACCGGCGGACTCCACTTGTCCAGACCACAACCACCTTGAAAACCTTGCATATTAGATTGTGCCTTCCTAAAATCTTACAGCAATCCACTTACCATCTGAATAGTTGAAACCGCCGATCGCTCAATACTATTGAATATGGCTGCATTCCGAGAAGACCACATACCCCAGCAAATGGCAAAAAACAACCCCAATGTATCTGCATCAGAACTCCGCCCAATTTCATATGCCCAACTCATAAAATCAAGACCAACTCCCTTATCTAACACAAACATCAGCGGGCTGTGATGCCACACCTCCTGCGCCATCGGACAGCCAAAACAATGCATTAATGTTTCTGGCCCATCACCACAGCCAGTACATGTAGCGTCCGATATCAAATGCCAATGCCGAAGTATAGATTTTATTGGTAGAATATTGGAGCAGCACTTCCATGCAAAGACCTTGATCTTATTGGGAATCCGAAGGTGCCAGACCCGCTTCCAAAACCAGGTAGCATGTTGCCCCTCGGACCCAGACCCTTTCCCCTTCCGTAAGCTAAGACTCATCTGCAAATGGTAACCCGAATAAACCGAAAACACACCACTTCATGTGTAATGCCACACCAACATGTCGGGTATACCTTGACAGCAGAGAGGGATTTTCTGAATGGCTTCCACGTCCATTGCCATAAAATTCTCATGTAGGAGCTGTGAATTCCAACATCTCCTGTCCTGGTCAATCAAATGACAGACCAACGCATCCGCTAACAACTTGGTAGGAGGAGAACAGACCCGAAATGTGTGAGACCTAGGTATCCACTTTGCACCCCAGATCTGAACCGAGCGTCTATCCCCAATTCACCACCTTACTCCTGCTTCTAATAGCGGCCTAGCATTAATAATACCCCGCCACGTGAATGAGGGATTCGACCCAACGCCAGCTTGAAAAAAAATTGCAGTAGGATAATACTTGGCCTTCAAAATTTTGGCCAGCAATGAGTCCGGCGACGACATCAATCTCCACCCTTGTTTGGCCAACATAGCTGTGTTGAAAGCTTTTAAACATCGAAACCCCATTCCACCCATCCATTTGGGATCACAAAGAGCTCGCCAACTTTTCCAATGGATTTTTCGTTTATTCTCCCGCTGTCCCCACCAATAATTACTCACCATAGAGTCAATCTCTCCACAAAGCCCATCTGGCAGTTGGAAACATGACATAATGTACGTGGGAATAGATTGAGCAACCGATTTTATCAAGACTTCTCGACCAGCTGCCGATAAATATTTTTCTTTCCACCCATTTAGCCTTTTCCACACTCTGTCTTTAACATAGTTAAACATCTCACGTTTGGATCTACCAACAATATATGGCATGCCAAGATATTTCCCAGATTCCACCATAGTACCAACCCCCATATCCGTCCGCAACACCTCTTGAGTATCCACCGCAACATTCTTGCTAAAACAAATAGCCGATTTTTCAAGATTGATTTTTTGGCCTGATGCTAACTCATATTTTCCCAAAATATCTTTAACCACAGTTAATTCTTGCACAGTTGCCACCCCAAAAATCAAGCTGTCATCCGCAAAGAAAAGATGGGATACATGCGGACATCCTCTACACACAGCCACACCAGTGAAGTGTCGCTCTTCTTCAGCCCGAGTGATTAAAGATGACAGACCCTCCGCACATAACACAAACAAATAAGGTGACAGTGGATCCCCTTACCTAAGCCCTCTGCTAGGAACAAAAGTCTTTGTCGGACGTCCATTGACTAGAACTGAATATGACACTGAAGAAATACAATGCAAAATGGTATCCACAAACTGTTGGTTGAAACCCATCCTCTCCAAAACACCATGCAAGAAACTCCATTCAACTCGATCGTAGGCTTTACTCATATCAAGTTTTAATGCAAAATGCCCCTATTTTCCGTGCCGTTTGTTCTTCAAATAATGAAATATCTCGAATGAGGCAAGCACATTATCACTAATAATTCGCCCCGCCACAAAAGCACTTTGATTTAGAGAAATGACTTTCGGCAATATTTTTTTCATCCGATTGGCTAACACTTTGCTCACAATCTTGTAGGCCACATTACAAAGGCTAATTGGCCGGAATTGAGACATTCGTTTAGGATTTTTCACTTTCGGAATTAGCACAAGAAAGGTGTCATTCACTGTCGTCACCCCTTTCCGATCATTAAGGATCCCCAAGACTGCCTGCGTGACCTGTGCACCCACTATTGGCCAAAAACGTTGGTAGAACAGAGCTGGTTTACCATCCGGGCCCGGTGCTTTCGTAGGATGCATTTGGAATAACGCCCGTGACACCTCCTTTGCTCTGTAAACTCGAGCTAGTTCCGCATTCATCGCTGGAGAAACAGCCATGTGAATTTTATCCAAAACATCTCCAATACCCTGCAGATGTTCAGACAAAAACAAATCTTTAAAAAAGCCCACTGAAAGTGCACCCACTATTGGCCAAAAACGTTGGTAGAACAGAGCTGGTTTACCATCCGGGCCCGGTGCTTTCGTAGAATGCATTTGGAATAACGCCCGTGACACCTCCTTTGCTCTGTAAACTCGAGCTAGTTCCGCATTCATCGCTGGAGAAACAACCATGTGAATTTTATCCAAAACATCTCCAATACCCTGCAGATGTTCAGACAAAAACAAATCTTCAAAAAAGCCCACTGAAATCTTCTCCAGCTCCTCAGGCTTAGTGCACCATTCACCCTCATCATTTTCAAGCCCATTAATCCTCTTCTTCTTATGCCGTTGGGAAGCTTTGGAATGGAAAAAAGAGGTGTTGCGATCTCCCTCCTTTAACCAATTGGCCCGTGCTCGTTGGCACCATAAAGCCTCATCCCGCTCAAGGAGTTCATCAATCTCACAGCATAAATTCCTACGAACACAGTTGTCTTCGGTCGAGAGCACATCCTGACCATCCAGACGCCGGACCTCACTCAACTTAGTTCGGATTAACTGCTGGACGTGGCCAAACGTGGTCCTATCCCACTGGGATAAACCAACACTCACCTTCTCCAAATTACCCCGCACACTGTCCATAGTAACCTCTTGTACATGGCCCCAAGTAGCCTTGACAACCTCCTCACATCTTTCGTCACGAAGCCACATCGCCTCAAAACGGTATAGACGTGGTCTACGCCGATTTCCTAACAGGCTCTTGTGCTGGCCTCAAAGTTGTCACTAATTATGTGAGCAGAATTTGTCCATATAAGAGAAACTCTAATGTTACTCTTTAATTTTTCAATAATTAAACTACAAAAGAAATATGCTCAATATCTTATGTAACTGATTTTTTTTTTAATGTATGTACTTTAATATTATTATTTATTTTATTAATCTATTGATCCAAAACTATTTAAAGAGTTTCTTAAACTTCTCCCAATATAAGAGCATTCGCATCATCCTCAACAAATTTTGAGTCAAATTATAACCCAAAATCTACTTTTGCTATTTTAGTTAGTCACTTTTTTAGTACTCACTGTATCAAACTCTCTATTCTAATTCAATCCTATTAAAATATTATTTTCTTATTGCATTTGTTATTCTTTCTTTTTTTTATTAAATTGATGAGGTGCCACACAAACAATTCTTAAAAAATGTAAAAAAATAATAATAATAAAAATTTGCCATTGACCGGTCGACTGATTAGGCTAATTTTGGAGATTTTTCTTCTTTTGCTGTAGGAACTCACGGGACATCCGAGAGGACATGCGGGTGGATGACCGGTTTAAAGATTTTGGCCCAATTTTGCTCAAAAAAATAAAATAAAAAATAGAACAGCCAAAGAATAGTGGCTCAACAAAGTTGTTGAGTTACTGTAACAAATATAAATAATACCTAGCCATAGAATTAGTTTGTTGAGTCTGATGGAGCACATATTCTTGACTTTTGCTCTCTATAATAGCTTCAAAGCTATTGTAGAGAGCTTGATGCTGACGCTTAATTTGAAATTTTTATAATTAGGCCAAATTTATCTTTTAGATTTCAAAAATTGTAGGTCTAAATTTCTTAAGGGCTTAGGCCTTGTTTGTGAATAAATTATTTTAGTAATTTTTTGATTTTTTGTTAAAATATGAGATAAAAAAATTATTATGTTTGAAATGATTTTTTGATTTTTTATGAAAAAATATGCAAAAAATAGAGAGAAAAAAGAATTTTTGATTTTTTAGTATAAGTTGTTAATTTTTTATTTTTTTAGTGACTTTTTAACTTTTAAGCTAAAATATTGAGTTGCCAAACAAGACCTTAATTCATGTGGATTCAATTCTCTTTAGAAATAGTTGAATTAAAGAGGTAAACACTTAGGCCCCGTTTGTTTGGGGTTATAGGACGGGGATTAGGACTACTAATACCTTGGTATTACTAATACCTTGTTTGTTTTGAGAGATGGCATTGGGACTACTAATACCTTGGTATTACTAATACCCTTGGAAGGGGGATTCATAGTGAGGAGATAGAGATGGTATTAGAAAAATAGTGAAGGGATTAGAATTTTTTTTTATTTTTTATATATTGGAATTTTTTTTTAAAATATTAATGTTTAATTTTTATATTTTTTTATTTGTTTTATTATTTTATATAAAAATAATTTAATAATTTCTCACTATCAATCCCCTCCATTCTATCTCTGAAAACAAACGGGACCTTAACCTTATATGAAAATTGGAGAAATTAACTCACATATGTACTAATTTAATAACTAACAATTAAAATAAAACAAATAAAAGAAATTTAACTACAACAGCTAATGTGGCTGCACGTTGCCCATAACTGTAAGAGCATACTTTGAAAGATGATGAATCAGTTAAATAGTTAATTGTAGTATAATTTGAAAATTTTAATTAACTTCCAAAGTTTAAAAATTTGTTCAAAATTTGATTGTTAAATTTTCAATTCGGTTTCAAAAGAGTTTTTATCCACAATTTAAATTTAATTTGAAAATTCTTAACTAATTTTTAAAATGTGTTTAAATTTAATTTATGGAGAATTTTATAATATATTACCATATGCAATTTTAGCTATGCTAGTTATGACTAATTTTCTTCTTTAGTTATAATATTTTTTAAAAATATTTAGTTAGGATTCATATAGTGTTTGGATATATATATATATATTTTTAATTATGATTCAAAAATTATAAAACTATAATATATTTTTTTTTAATTACAAAGTACATATAATATATACTATTTCCTTAATTTATTTACTTAATGAATTAAATTGAAACGGGATTTTAACCAACCAACGAATCGAAGCCAAACCATTCAAATCGTTTAATGCCCCTTACATGTGCCCCCTTTAGTGTAATTGTTAAAATAGATTATAAGGGGTTATTTGAGATGATTTAAATAAGTGTACCTTTTGTCTTTTTATGAAAAAATGTGCAGAAAAGTAGAGAGGTGATGTAATAAAAAAAATAAAAAGATAAAAAGATGAATAATTTAAGAGATGCCAAACCACCCCTAAATTATAACTTAACAGATTATAAATTATGACTTTAATCAGAAGTTGTTAATCTGTTTGGTGTAACTATTGGATTATATATTTAAGTTGCTAAGTAATGTTTAGGGTTGAGCTATAAATCCATATAATCCGTAATCCGTAATCCGATCCGGTCCAGTCCAATCCGGTAGATTTTGATTGGTTTTTTGAATCCGTTGTTCGGTTCCAGATTAGAAATTTAAAAATTCATATGCCACGGATCGGTTTCAGATTGAATCGCACGGTTCCGAATTGGAACCCATCCGAACCGTATACAAATAGTCTATATTTATATTATAGACCCTCCCACATAATATCATCTCTTATTTCGTATAAAAGCTAAACCAATTTTCTTATTGCTTTTATTTGATGCTATGTTTGGTTTTAATACTGAGAATAACTCTGCTTTGTGTAATGTGTATTCAGTTTTATTGCTTTTGTTTGTTTCTTTTGTTTATTGCTTTTGTTTGATGCTATATTTATGTTTTTATGAAATAAAAATGTGTTATATTTTTTTTTGTTATTTAATTATGTAAATCCGTGGCCCTAAACCGATCTAATCCTTGTTTAAACGGATTGGTTCGGATTGGTTCCACCATTTAAACAGATTGGATTGGTTTCAATTTTTCAAGAACCGTAGATAACGGATTGGTCCTGATTTTACTCCAATCCGGACCATGCTCATCCCTTGTCACGCCCCAAAATTTAAACAATTAAATATTAAATTATGAGTACATCCCAATCAATATTCCATCATCCAAATCTTAGGGGTGAAACAAAAAAAACCTAAACGTTCTTGTCTCCATAATGTTAAATAAATTCCATGCTCAAAAGATTATAAGGGATTAAAAAAAACTAATAAAACGCCAACCAAACCGTCCACCATAAATTTCATAACTAACCAATACCTCCGACATTAAAGTAAAAATAACTAATCAAGACAACTTAAATAATGCAAAGTTGAAAAATAACCTACAATGTCAAATTGTCAAAATACTAAGGTCATAAAAAAAATAATAAATACAATAAACTAATATCAATCCTAAGCTCAAGAAAACAAAAGAAATCTAAGAGACATGTCCAACAATTATAGTTATTCCACATCACCACCGGAGCCCCAACTAATTTTGCAAAGGAAGTTCGGCTGCGCTCAAATAGAATGCACCCAAGATGTCAAGAGACAAATGGGTTAGTATACAAATATACTGGTATGAGTACAATATTTGACACCCACATGTCCACCAAACACAAATAAAAATACATTTATTCCTGTTACAGGACAAGACAAATAGTTCCATCTGCACTGAGACAAAGAGGTAGTTTCTCGTGATACGGTGACATTTAGTTTATTACTCGTACACAACTAAATACAATTTGAGTATAAAATAAACAAAATAAAAATAAATATATGGTGGGTCATCCCTGCATAAAAAGTTAGTAAGATCCACCATCCTACAAAAAAAATAAAGTTTGTATAATTCAATCATAAGTAACTTGCTAAAAAAGTATAAAAATACACCGTTTTATGCTTAAATAGTTTGAATTGACTAAGACTCAAAGAACAAAATTTGTACATAATCAAATTTTATAGAAATTGACGCAAACGAATTTAGTAGAAACTGAATAGGTTGAGAGAAAAATTTAATAGAAAATCCTAAACGTAATTTGATCGAAAAATCTGGAACTGAAAACGAAAAGGAAATGTTGTAAGATGATTTTTTTTTCGAAAAAGTTCAATACACAAAAAGTGTTCAGAATAATGTTTTACTTTAGTTTACGCGAAACCAATAAAAATGAGCTCGTTTTGTGGGTTAAAACAGTTTCTAAAATCTGCATTACTAAAATGAATTAAAACTACTATAACAAAGATCATCCGATTATAAGTTCTAATCGATCTTTTCAATACAAAGTTAAAATACACAAAATTGTCTAGAATTGCGTATATATACATTTGCCCAAATTTCATAATTTATCAAGGTCGATTATTATTTGTTTCAAGATATACAAATCAATACAATTCAAACTATACATATAAGTTCAAATTTAATTATTTGTACATTAACCTCACCATTTCGGCCCTTCACTTTCGGCCTACACATATATCCCATGTGCCTCCCATATACCTAACACTGCTTTGAAGCCAAACTTGCACGGGGATATCGTCTTGAGTTTGACCCACACTCCCCGGATGGTTAGCATATACGTATGCGCGTAAATTAAAGCACTTGTCTACTTATGAGTACGAGGCAACAATATATATATACACAATCTCTCCTCTACTTATGAGAACAAATATAACAATGTCAAGCCTAAGATATTCAAATCAATCTCATAATTCTCATTCTTTTTATACACTCTTACTTTTTCTCACCATCACTCAAATAAAACAACAATCCATAGAGTTATGATGGAATATAAGGAATTTATCCATGGGTTCCAAGTTTGTTTTAATTTCACATAACCATGAGTGTGATTACAATCCTAAAATAAATCCATATAAAATCCCTAAACACGGCATATACAATTAATCAAAATAATTAAAATCAATCCATCATCTATATGCAAATACAAAATCAAACAAACATCAAATAAATAAAAACAATGAATTAAATATAAATCAAGGAAAG